ATCCATCCATCCATCCATCCATCCATCCATCCATCCATCCATCCATCCATCAGACCACGCTCTACGATCAGCTCTCCAAGCTCACGTACAGCAGTGTGTGGCAACTTCTTCAAATGACCCTTCAACCTTGCATCAGAGCTTGCACTCGGAGCACAAGGGCCACCAAGCTCAGAAGGGGAAGGGGAAAGGCAAAGGCAAACGCGCTTCCTGATTGCCCCTTCTATGCACTCTGACCTGGGTGCCGCCAAAGAAGCTCTCAGCCGCATCCGGCTCCGCAATCCAGGTGATTGGTGCTACTTGAATGCCAACTTGACAGGCCTCCTTTGGATGCTTCTGCATGGGCCTGAGAAGGAGACCACACCGGCTGAGCTCTGGGAGCCACATGCCTTGATCTGGAAGGCAATTTTGACTGCCTGTGCACAAGCGCAGGAGCTTTCTTTGTTTGCACTGCCGGCTCTTCAGCCGCTGCTGCATTCCTGGGGAGAGCAGCCCAACCAACCGAGCTGTGCTGCTGAATTTCTCATGAGGGTGTTGGAATGGGGCCAATTCCCATTGCTGGATCACACCTGGGAGCAACGTTTGCTCACTGTCTTTTGACCTTCAATTGGCTTGAGGAATTTGACATGCCCACCCTACACATCTCTGACTGCTTGGCCTCATGGTTGCACCACTTAGGCATGCGCACGGCCTTCACCTCGGCCACTCCCTTCAAGTGCCTGCACCTCGACAGAGGATACCTGATCCATGAGGAGGCCCTGAAGATCCCAGAGATTCAATTCGAAGAGGTGATCCAAATACCGATCTTTGACGGATCCCAGCTGCATTACAGCTATCGGCCTTACTTGGTGGTGGCCATCTTGGCCCACTTCGGAGACAGGCACGGCGGACATTATGTGGCGCTACTGCACCGTGAAGGGCAATGGATTGAAAAGAATGATGGACAGCAGCCAACCTACTACGACGAACTGCCCAAGTACATCTGGCAGGCTGCTGTGGTGCTCTTCATGCGCCTGAAGGATGGCACTTTTCTTTCGAGACAGCTGGAAGAGCTCCTGTCCATGCTGGCTGACTAAGCCTTTTCCCATGCTCTCAAAATGATGAGCGTGGGTTGCGCAATGAGACTTTAGAGCTCAGCGTCCGACAAAGGTACAAAGGTACATCCATCCATCCATCCATCCATCCATCCATCCATGTAATCACTATAAAATATGAATTATATATATACATACACATATATTCCTTTGTGTCAATGACATTATATCATATTGAACAGTATTATGCCATTGCCTGGGGTCGGCGGATTTTATATTATAGAACATATTTGTCAACTTGAATCGAACGGAATCTCGGCAAGGTCAGGGGGGCCTCTAGCAAGCGATGGGGACCCACTTTGGAATTCTCCAAAGTTCGTCCAGAACTTAGATTTCTTCCGAAGCAATGATTTGGTGGACACGACATTTTTTGTTTTTAAAATGAGAAATGACGTTGGACTTTTGTGACTGCGTTCTCACCACGGTCTCTTCAAGCACTAGTTGCACTCTATCAGCTTCATATGTTCAGGTCAAAAGTAGCTCTGTCAAGAAACTCGACCAAACTGAAGCCCGAAAGGACGAGGCTTTGGCATCAGTCCAGTCGGTCTCCGTGAACGGTGATAGATTTGTCTCACTTTGCATGACCCAGTTTTCACAAAGCTGGAACATTTTGCTGGCTAACACCTTGCAGGCTTTGCACCGTCGGACACAAGCCAATGCAGGCTGATAGAAGTGAAATTGAATGCTACTGACAGCATTTCTTTCTTTCAGCTTGTTCCAGGTCGTGAGCCTGGGGCCAGAACTCTCAAGGCAAATCCACAGACTTGGCTGATATCATCCTGCTCAGTTGCTCAGTATGAAGTACTTGAAGGGTCCCAGCAGGACATAGCCCGCCACAAGGACGCGCGTAGCATTGTATAGCAACCCCAATCCAAAAATGCTTGCTGTGTGTGTGTGTGTGTCAAACCCTGTCCCTAAGGGTCTTTACCACCTCCCATGTTCTCATGCAGGGGGCGCCGGGGGTACTGATGAGACCGGTGCTAACCAAGACGCTCATCAGCTACCTGTGATACAGTTGGAGACGTCCAACTGCGTACCTGCTGAGTTGTCCACAAGCTGTTACCCTACTTCTCCATTTTTTTAATTCATGGTGGTTCGCATGATACCTTCCTTAAACCTTTCTTTTGCCGCCTTTCTTCGTTCGCGCGCAGCTGTTGCACCACTGCAGATGAGAGAAACTCCAATGTTCAAACACCTTCAATTGATCGGACTCTTCACCTTGCCGTTATGCCACTCCTTTTCTCCTGGGAATTGAGTTAACTGAAAACCAATGTCAGAGTGTGAAGCGCTCAGTCGTCCCACTTGGGTGCTGGGTGTGATCCCCGTCACTCGACCGCTGAATTCATGCTGGAAATCGTGTAACAGACTTTTCGGACCCTTCATTCCTTGGATTTTCTTAACTGACTCTTTTTCACCACTGGATCAACTGCTTTTCGAGCCGCCGGGCTTATACGGTTCCAACTCACTGAATAACTCATGGATTATCCTTTCATTGCAGCTTGCCTTTGATTTTCAAGCGTGTACAGTTGACCTGCGACCACATTTTCACCACTAACTTTTCACGACGTGGATTCACTGCATGCAGAATTTTCACTCTACTACAATTTTGGGACTTTCCCTCTTACTTTTCTCAGCTGCCGGAGCGCTGCGCTGGCGCCATTTTGCAGCTGACCGGGCCTGCCGCCGCTGCCGATTCAGCCGCGATGCAATTCCCGTGCCAATCCCTATACAACACATCAGCTACCTCCTACAGCAGCACCAACCTATCCACTTCCACAGGCACCACAACATTTACCTTCCATGATTCCACAAATGCTTGCCACCCTGCCGCATTTTCCACAACCAACATGGCCACCTACCGCCCATTTTCAAGCACAACCACCACCACTACCACATGTACCACATCCTCCTCCCACATTTCCTTTTTTGTACACATTACCTCCATCCGAGCCCATGTCTTCTTCTTCTTGAGCAACAGAGCCGCCACACCCTACACCTACTCCTGCTACCCAACCACCCAATCAACCGTTACCACAGCCGATTGCAGCTCCCACCAAGGGGTTTGGCAGCTGTTCTCTGCTTTCCCACCAGTACAACCTGGCCATGTCCACCCGGCCAAAGCATCAGCTCCTGTGGAACCCTCTCAACTCACGGCATCACCCTCGCCTCTCACTACTGCGCAAACTGTTCCACAGTCACCGGTCTCTATACAGCGCCCTCTGCACCTGACGCAAGTCACACAGCAGTTACAACTGAGCAAACATCCTCAGCCACCCTCCATCCACTTAACACTCCTCCACCCTCCACTCCTGCGGCATCAGTTCATTCGGATACAGTCAACAACACACAACCTGCTGATCCAGCACCATCTCACCACAACGCTTCGGCATCACAACCACAACCACCACAGCCACCCAAGCATCACCGCCGCCGCGAGCACGGCCGCCGCCATCGCCGCCGCCGACATCACAGGCACCACGCCAGAGGCAGGCGCGCACGCCGCCAGCCACGAACCACACACCAACATCATTCCTCACGACATCATCGATCGCGGTCCCCTTCAACCTCCTATTATTCTTACTCTCGCAGCCGATCACCTTCACGCAGCCGTTCCAGACAACCCATTTCACTTCTCCCCAACACCGACTCACTACAACAGGATGCTGTTTCCAACCAGTCACAAACCAGCTATCCTACCATCCCGGCTCTTCGCAGGGTCGCCAACCCTTGGCGACCCCCACCGCATTTTCAGCAGAAAACTCCACAAGAGCAATTGGAGCTTTGGCTTGATTACCATGCCGATCAACTTGACGCAGCCAACAAGCCCCAACACACTTATGTCGCCCGTTTGCTGCTGGACAGCGGCTTCACATACAAAGACATTTGCGACTACCGTCAATTCACCCACATCGAATGGAACGACGCCACCAACAGCCATGACATTTTCCAATTCAACTGCATCTCCATTCCTTGCCTGGCGCAGAAGGCAAGTCGCCGATTTCCACCACCAGCCACACGAGCTGCATCCACCTCTCCAGAGCTGGTCCACATCAATGCCAGCCACACCGGCCCAGTGGGTAACATCACCAACATTCTTCAACAGGGCCGCTTTCTTCCCAGCGCCCTCCATTTTCCTAACAACCCAGGCTTTTTCGCGCAAGGAGTTCGCACCACTCAACAGCTACAGCGCGACAACGCCGAGCAAGCTCGCATCCTCCACAATTCTTGGAACCTTGCCAAGAACACCCATTCCATCCTTGTCACCCTGGTAGCCTGGGGACAAGACACCAAATTCACCAGTGGTGGTGAAGAACAGGCTATGAACCTTAATGCCAAAGGCCGCAGCTGGGTCATTCACCCAGAGAACGCTATGGTCAAGGGCCTCGCATGGTCCGTCAACGCAACGCCACCAGCGACCTGAACATTCACTGCAACACCCTTTCACTACCACCGGACACCTTTTCACCTGTTTCACACCACAGCACATACCACTCGCTCGGCGAAAAATCCGAGTCCTGCCAGTCAGAGTCAGCGCTTCCGATATGAATTCAGACCATGCACGCAGACTGCAAGAGTTCACAAGAGTATGCAGATTCTCAGGATGTTTTTTCGGTTCTGTTGATTCCTTAAGTTTCGCTTTTTGAGTGTTCGCATGCTGCATGTGATGAGACCAACCTGTCTCGTTTGCGTTTTCCCGCACTTCATGTTTTGTTGAAACCTTGTGCTAGAGACTTCCATGAGGCTTTTCAGACGGCGCATCGTATTCCCGCAAAATTCGTGCTCGATAATTCATTTGCAAAGCCCAGCCGACCTTTTCATGCTGCTTTCGCCGCTGCGCTACACCAGCCGCGCTGCTTAGCTGCTGTTAACGTCAGCCTATTGGCACAGCCTTCAAAGCTATGAACAACAGCCCAGAACACGTCGTTTTGATCCACCGCACAACCATTGCTCTTACACAACTCCAACAAGCAACAGACATGCTGGCTGACGTTCACAGCCTTTACCTGCTCCACACTGGACAGGTTGACAATCATTTCCAACGTTCTTTTCCTCCTCTCCCGGCACCTCCCTCTTTCACGATTCCTTTACCTTCTTCCACATCCTCTTGCGATTCAGCTCCAGCACACCTTCATCCTCCAGCTCCACGAAAACCATCAGCATCTCTTGACACATCTTCCCCTTATCCTACACCACAGCGACCACAACCCAAGAAACGACGAGAACCAGCACCACCACTTAACTCCCAAGCGGATTGGGGTGCTTGGGACGGCGACGCTGACTGCCGTCTAGTCGAGTTGAAGACAGATCTTCACCTGCGCCCCAACTGGAACTACGTTGCCCGACGGGTCGGCTTTTCCATTGAACAGTGCAAGGCCCGCTGGCAGGAACTTCAAGATCTGCAACGACTCCAAGAAGCCTCCACACAATCTCATCCTTCTCCGCACCATTCTCCAATCGCATCACCAGCTATCTCCCCTACCCCTACATCACCAGCGCACACACCACCAGCAATTTCTCCTCCACCACTTTCTGAAGCAGACTTCTCCACCTCCCCTCCACCGCATCACACTCCACCTTCTGCTGCTGCGGCGTCTCCAGTGGCGGCTGTGCGAGCGAGCAGTGAGGACAGACATCCAGAATCGGCAGACGACCAAGTTCTGGGTAGCTATTTTGTGTGACATACTCGCTCCATTTACGTTTCACTCAAGCTTCTCCAGGCGCGCTGCCGGAAACAGCAGTTTGTCTCATTGATTGGGTTTTACGTTTCGAACTTTATTTTGATTCGATTCTGAACATTTCATTCCCTTGAACTTCAGCCAGATTTGATTTCATTTTCTTTCTCCTTACCGCTTTACTGATGGTACTGCAGCCCTGTGCCCTTGAACTCGAACTTTGCTATTCCATTCGACTACCTGCGCGGCCGAAAAACATGGCCTCCGACCATTCTGCAGCTGCTGATGATACATTTCCCAACCCATTCATATGCCCTCACCGCAACTCATCACCACAGCCTGGCTCACAACCTACACCTACTGCAGCTTTCCCACAACAAGCTCACACTGCGACCTCTACACGTTTCCTACCCGGCAATCCTCCACTTCACCTCGCGCCGTCTATCACTCACCAACCTGAACTACTTCTTCTCAGCTGGATGTTCGACGCCCTCTTCATGCTGGTCACCCGCATTTTGGATCACCCGATTGCAGAAGGACCCATACCGGATCCAAGCATGCTCGTTGACGACAACGCATACCAGCTCTTCCACCAGTTCCACCGCAGCCTGGCCAACCTGGGTCGCGACACCCTGCGCCCAATGCGAGCTCGACGTTTACTCCAATTTATACCAGGCCCTCCGGGCCTACCAGGACAATACCGCATGGATCCCACAGCTTACTTTCCACCACACACTACGGATTTCCTCTCCACCGCTCCCGCGACCCCTCCGCAATCTCCAGCACGCTCTCACCGACACTCTCGCTTTTCTCCTTCTTCCTTCTACACAACACCTCCCTCAGCCAGAGAACGTTCACGTTCAAGAGACAGACACAGCCATCTGCAGCCGCATGCTGATGTTGCGCAGCCGGCCACGGTGGATCGGAGTGAACTTGATCCTGCTAGAGACAGCCACTTGAGCAACCACGGGGCCACCTCGTTTTCTTGATTCCGTTTCACCCTATTCTCTTCGGCGTGCCAATGGAAAACTTGCATTTCACCTTGCTCTGTTTGAGTCTTTTGTAGTTCCATTACTC